TTCAAAACATGGGAATTTTCAGTTATAAAATTCTGTGTATTCTATTATACAATTCTGTACATTCGAACATGAATTTTTTTTTAAGGAGTTAACAGCAAATACGCAAAAAAGTCCAAAACGACGTCGTTTTGAGCTAGAGCGCACAATGCATTGTGCACCCTAGTGCACGGTATAATTTGCCCCCCGCAATTTATATACCCATCTCCACAAGGCCTTAAGCTGGGCTAGGCATTGACTCATTAAAATGCATCCCGCAACTGGATGAGGCAGGGCGGGGGAGTATTTAGATCAAAGTTGGGATTAAATTTTTTTGTCTTTTCAACGTAACTTTAATTTAAGTAAGAGTAAGTATTATGTGAAACCTCTCACGTGATACGTGTACTATTTTTTAATTAAAATATAATACTTTTCTCCATGCTCATAAAAAGTAATACATTTTAACTAAAACCTATTCCATGTCTCACGTTGAGACGCTATCATACATGACTTATTCTTTAAATAAAATCATATAAAAACTGTTGAGTCGTTTATCCTCAACCACGACTTGTTTGTTTGGATCCAGAAGTAATCATAGTCTGCAAGAAACATAAAAGATATGTTGTTTGGTTTTCTAAAATTGTACCGTGAATCCTGAATGCAAGAAATAACTTAAGTTTCTACTTCGTTTTAATTTAGAGATTTACCGTACCAATTAATTAGCCTATTGAACGGAAGTAAATAAACATATAAGCAAGAATAAAAACCAAATACACAGGAATTGATCACGCAGATCGGAGCGCTTCTCTTACGTCTACGGGGTAACCCACGTCTGCCCAATCTATCTACTAGATGTTCTCCAATGTTTACAAGAGGTTATTACACACGGCTAACAGCCATTACAACCTTCAAAGCATCTTTTACAGAATTGGAGCGTGCATGTCGTTTATGACTTCACCAGCTGAAGCTGCTGAACCAGGTTCAGGTTAACTGTGTCAGACGTGATCTCCTTCTCCAACCAAATATAGAAACCAAAATATAATGGAGTGTTTGGAAATTTTTCTCAAAATTGCATAGGAGTTCGTGATCTCAATTAAGAAAGTGTTTCCTTTTTATAATGATCACTCCTTCAACTAAATCCACCTAAGTAATAGCCATCCACTTATTTTGCAATAAATCACCACCACACCAATTACACTAATGAGTTAATACCCAAAATTATCCTCGACTATAGTGGTTCCTCGACTATAGTGATTTTTCTCAATTTCGTCCTAAACAACTTTGGTAACCTAATATAGTCCCAGACTTTTGTGTTTCGCTCAATTTAGTCCTCCTTTTGTTATTCCGTCAAATTGGTGTTAAATAAAGGGACAATTCAATAATATCAATATTGACCTCTCTTTACTTTCAACCTGTGAAGTGAGAAATATCTCTTTCTTACACGAATTACACCTAGAGTTACTCTCAGACCTACGAATCAAATTTTATATTCGCAGCTTTAGAAATGATTATGGGAGTAATTCGTAAAAAAAAGAGGGATTTCGCACTTCGCATGCCTATGAATAAAGAGATGTCAATATTAAAATTACTGAATTGTCTATTTATTTAACAACAAATGGACGGAATAACAAATGGGTGACTAAATTGAGCAAAAACACAAAAGTCTGAAACGAAATTGAGTAAAAACACAAAACTCTGGGACTACATTAAGTCACCAAAATCGTTTAGAACAAAATTGAGAAAAACCACTATAATCGAAGACCATTTTGGGTATTAACTCTTACACTAATCTTCATAGCAATAAACCACCACCACACAAAATATATTGATCCCATAGTAATAGCTTTGACCCATTGAACAAGCTGATTCCTCCTCCAAAATATACATACGTTGATTTCGTACATAACCCATGTGACAGTAGAAGATTTATCATATGATAGGTGACAGTCCAAGGCTTCAATATACATAGAATCTAATTTATTGAGTAAATACCATCTATGGTCCCTCGAGTTTAGTGGCATCGCCATCAATGGTCCCTAACTTTCGTATTTACCGGGCGTCATCCTCCGAGTTGCCAAAAGTGGCCTACAAGGGTCCTTCCGTCACTTTGTCCCGTTTGAGACGTCAAAATGGAGGGCAAATTAGTCACTTCACATTATGCGAATGTTTTAATGCTTTTTACATTTATTTGGAGAAAAAACGTCCATCGTCCATCGATCCACCCTCAATTGATTCCCAAATTTCCAACTACCAAACCCTAAACAAAATCTCAGTCGAATTTAGCGGCGATTGCGAAGGATTCTTCATCGACGAAGTAGCAATTTGGAGGTCAGAATTCAAGGCGAGAAAAGGGCAGACTTCAACGAGGTCATGGGTTCTCCACAACGACAGTCGAATGGTATGTGAACTAACTAAGTAGGGAGATCTTTGTGTTACGAAAACCTCGTATTGGTTGTTTTTGTTACAAATTTGAGTATGTGAACTGCATTCGTTTAAAGTATAGTATTGGGCTTTGTTTATGGGACCATGGGGGCCCTGTCTAGGTGGTGGGAGACCATGAACTGCATATTTTGTTTAAAGTAGATTTTTTGTGTTTTTTTTTTTTTTTTTGGTTATTTATGTTCAAAGCACATATGCTGGCTTGAAATTGGGGACCACAGAGGGTTGAAAGCACATGGTAGTGTGTCGTTTTGTTCTGGAAATAATTGTGGATTTGTTGGCTTGAAATTGGGGACCACATAGGGTTTAAAGCACATATGTTGTGGCTGGGTTAAAAGTTAAATGATGTGTATTGCCTTTATGTGTATTATATTATGTGTAGGGACCACTTGTCTTGGGATAGTAAACCATTTGAAATCCACATTTCTGCCTGCTTATATAACAGTGTGTAATGAGCCTATTTGTGGCTACTTTGCTGTACAGGTAATGTTCCTGGTGGTGGTTTTGTGTTGAATTTAAGGCATGGTGGTAGGATAAATAAAAGTCATAAACCAAGTTATGTTGGAGGGCAGACTACTAGTTTCTCTAACATTGATGTGAATGAGTGGGGATTGTTCACACTTAGAGATAAGGTTAAGTGTTTGGGTTATGAAATAATAGATAGCATGAAGATGTTTGTGAATCAATCAAATGGGTTGATAGAGATAGTTTCAGATTGTGAAGTATGGGATTTAGTCAAAGAAATAGAGGTGCATAATAAAATAGAGATTTGGGTTGTGCATGAGGGTGATGTTGATGGTGCTGAGGATGTTGAGGATGCTGAGGGTGTTGAGGATGCTGATCCTGAAAGTGAAGCTGAATGGGAAAGTGAGGAGGATGCTGAGTCAGATGAGAGTTCTGTGGATTTAGATGACATAGAGTTTGAGCAATTTGTTGATCCAACTGTTGAGTTTGGTGGGTCAGATGCTGGAACTGCTTTGGGAGTTCAAGTTAATGAAGATTTGGAGATAAAATTTTCAGATGAGGGGAGTGAGAAAGACAGTGATAATGAAGAGGCAAAAGAATATCAACTGCCAATGTTTAAAGGGAAAATTGAGATGGCAACACCTACATTCTGTCTTGGATTAACATTTGGTTCTAAGGCAGAATTTAAGGAGGCAATTTATAATTATGCAATGAATAAAGGAAAGGAAATTCTGTACATCAAAAATGATAAGGTTAGGTGCATTGTTGAGTGCAATGAAACTGAATGTCCTTTTAGGATTACACTAAGGAAACAAGCCTCAGAAAATGACTGGAGAATTACAGCAATCAATGACAAGCATGATGGCTGTTGTTGGAATAACATAAACTACATGGCTAACTCAACTACAATTGCAAAAAGGTGGAAGAATGAGGTTGCATCAAACTCCAACTGGACAGCTTCTGAATTCCTTAAAAAGGTGTCAACTACTGATGGAATCTCAATATCCAGAAGGCAAGCATGGAGGGCAATGAGGAAAGCAAGGGCTGCCATTTATGGTGAAGAAGAAAAATGCTTTAATAAGCTATGGAGTTACTGCTTGGAGATTGACAGGACAAATCCAGGAAGCAAATACCATGTGAAGTTGGGTGATAAACTAGATGATGGCAATAGAAGGTTCAAGAGATTTTACATGTGTTGGGAAGCATGGAGAATAGGCTATAAGTACTGTAGGCCTATTATTGGAGTGGATGGGTGTCATTTGAAGGAATTGCATGGGGGTCAGTTGCTGTTAGCTATTGGAGTGGATGGAAATGATAGTGTATTTCCTCTTGCTTATGCACATGTAGAAGGAGAGAATAAGGAAAGTTGGATTTGGTTTTTAAAACATCTTAAGTCAGATCTTGCAATAACTCCAGCTGATGAACTGGAATTAACATTTATTTCAGGTATGTGAACTGGAATTAACATTCATATCTTATACAGTTAAAAGCTTACCATTGTTTTGCATTCATTTATTTCTAAGTGTTTACCTAACTGTTTGGCAGATAAGCAAAAGGGTTTACTCCCTGCATTTGAGGAAGTTCTTCCAGCTGTGACTCACAGATTCTGTGTGAGACATTTACATGGGAATATGAAACTAGCTGGCTTCACTGGAAAGGCAATTAAAGATGGGTTATGGGATGCTGCTAGGGCCACAACAGTTAACACCTTCACAGCTGCAATGAAGAAGATGAAGACCATTGACTCTAAGGCATATGAATGGCTTGTTGAAAAACACCCTTCAGAGTGGTCCAGGTCACATTTTAATACAAATGCGCATTGTGATATCTTGGTCAATAACATTTGTGAGTGTTATAATTCTGTTATATTAGATGCTAGAGAGAAGTCTTTAATTAGCTGCCTTGAAACATTGAGGAAGAAAATTATGCATAGGCTGTATCAGTGTAGGAAAGAGGCATGGAAATGGACTGGCCCTATATGCCCTAGGATTATTTAGAAAATAGCTCAGTATGAAAAACAAGCCAATGGGTATACAGTCATACAGAGTGATGACAACTTGTTTGAGACACGTGGGGTGATTTATAGTGAATTTGAGCAGCATGAAGTTGACTTGGGTAGAATGACATGTACTTGTAGGAGTTGGGACTTGACTGGTATTCCATGTAGACATGCTATAAGTGCCATTTGGATGAAGCATGGTAAGGGTCCAGTGAATGACTATGTCCACCAATGTTATTTCACACAAACATACTTGAGGGCCTATGGAGGAAGCATCAAGCCTATGGCAGGTCCTACTGAGTGGCCTGAAACTGATAGAAAGCCACCTCTTCCACCTGTATACACTGCCAAGCCAGGAAGACCCAAAAAAGCAAGAAAGAAGGGAATGGATGAGATATCCACATCTGGGAAAAAGAAGGGGGTTGCTGAGGTATCCAAATCTGGGAAAAAGAAGGCAGGTGATGAGGTCTCCAAAGATGGTATCCATTTGAAAAGAAGCCATGTGAAGATGCATTGTACCAAATGCAAGAAGGAAGGCCACAACAAAAGAAAATGCCCTGAAGATCCTGCTGTTAGGGAGAGATTGGTAAGTGTTATGGCTTATAACCTGTTTTAAATTTTCTTATAGCTTAAATTTAGTTGTGATCTAACTGTGATATTTCTGTCCTAGGCCAATCCAAAGAAAAGAGTTAGGGCAAAGGCAAACAAACTTACAAACAGTGAAGCTACAGAATCTGAAACTGCACAAGAAACAAAGAAAATGGTGGTTCCTACACTGCCTGATGCAACACTTGAAGATGAAGATGATAATTGGTTGGCAAACATTGATATTGATGCAGTGGTGTCTCAAGTGCTGCAAAACCAAACAATGCAACCACAAGTGGATGCTGAGGAAATACCAATTACTAGTCAGCCACCTACTCTTGGAGAAGAAGAAGATAGCCAACAAGTGACTCCACCAACAAAGAAGAAGCTGCAAGCCAATGCAACTCAATGGAGGAAATATAACACTCGTGGCAAGATGAAATCAAAATTCAAGAACACAAGTGATGATCCTATAAGCATTGATTAACAGTACTGTTTAAGTTATGTTGTTTAAGTTATGTATTTTGGTAGCCAAAACTGCTGGATCAGTTAGACAAGACAGTTGTATGTTACTCTTTTTTGTATAGCAGTAACTTTGGCAGTTTAGTCTTATTTTGGCACAATTGAATATGACTTTGGCAGAAATGAAATGGTTGCTCAATTGGCTCAGTTTAGTCCTATTGGCTCAGTTTCTCTGGTTGCTCAGTTTAGTCCTATTCTGCTTATGTTATTGTTAAGGTTTCTTGACTAAACACACTCCAAACACACTTCAATATCATTGTTCTTACCTATACAGACAACAAAGACAATACAATAAGATGGTGCTTAACTAAACATACTTCAAACACATTGCATTAAATGGTCCAAATCAGGTTACATCATTAATTGCCTGGAAGCATTTTGACAACTGCCATCGATTGAGAACTACGTTTGCTAAACACATGAACTACAAATCCAATTGCAAAGATGATTACAATTGCGAAATTGCAACACTTATATTTCATAGACAAGACTGCATTTGTCTTAGTAGCAACTTCTAGCATAGCCTTTAACTTCTCCATCTCTTCTTTGTCTCTATTTATCCTCTTCAAAAGTCCGGGTATTATACTGATTGCCCGTGAACACATTGGAGGATCTGCCCAATCAAAGAAACCACAACTGTTGCCTCCCTAAAATCAAAAAAAAAAACAAAAAAAAATACAAAATTGAATTTATAAAATTCAAATCTGGAAAAATGAAACTGAATTCAAAAATTTATAAATTCGATATTACAAATTCTAAGATTACCTGACCGGATTCAGAGCATTGCCAAAACCTCCTACCCGGATTGCGATCTGTCCAAGACGTTCGAAGCACCACTTGATTCCCGCACTCACACCCATGACTGTGTATGGAATCTCCAAAATTATATCTCCTCCTTGAAGTAGTTGAAGAAGATGACATTGTTGAAGAAGATGACATTGTTGAAGAAGATGAAGATGATTAGGGTTCTTGCTGAGGCTTATGATATCGTCGAACCTAAATAGAAAAAGCATTAAAACATTCGCATAATGTGAAGTGACTAATTTGCCCTCCATTTTGACGTCTCAAACGGGACAAAGTGACGGAAGGACCCTTGTAGGCCACTTTTGGCAACTCGGAGGATGACGCCCGGTAAATACGAAAGTTAGGGACCATTGATGGCGATACCACTAAACTCGAGGGACCATAGATGGTATTTACTCCTAATTTATTTGTCTAAACAAATTCTAATGAAAATTGTCACATAAATTGTCAATAAATGATATGATTAATGTGTATCAGTTTTGTACATTTACAATAATCCCTTTTGACAATTTATTTGGCAAAAAACTAAAACATGTTTACTTGGGCAAAAATAGATATGACAGTTAACTTTATTAAAATAAGTAGCCCTATGACAGTTAACTTTATTAAAATAAGTAGCCCTTAGTATATATACTTTGACAAAACCCTACGAATCAAAAAACATTACCAAGCCAATTTGGACTGTCCTCCATCCGTATACCTCATAACAGAACTGTAGATATAATGAAACCCAGTAGAAATACCCAATCATTGAGACAATAAGAGAGAGTCCAAAATACCAATGTGCAAGATTAGATTAGCTAAATAAAAGCATAATCATCCAGTAAATAATATAATACCCAAGTGATTAGATTAGCTAAATAAAAGCATATTCATCCAAAAAATTATATAATACCCAAGTAGCTAGCAAGAGATGTCCAAAAGAAAAGTATAGAGAGGTTAACATACCACAACCATACCGAATCAACAATCAGGTATAAATCCACTCCAATCAAACATTCATAATCCATAATCCAAACTACTTCCCCTCACATATTACCCCTTTATTTAGCCAACCAACCAAAAACCAAACTCCACCTTTGTTCATACTCCCCTTTTTTGTGCCAAATAAATGAAAAATGAACGGTGAACATCATCGTGGAAGGATCATCGTGCTGACGGGGTGCCGAGCAGCTAGAAACAAAGTGTGGCCGAACAGCTGGAATCCAATTGGCTGAAGCTACTCGAAAGAGCACAGAATAAACTGTAGTTAACTCTTGAGTCTTTAAACCAGTGTTAAGCCATGAGATTTGACGATTGTGTGTTAAAGTGGCAGCGACACGATTCAGATTGGAATCAACAGAGTGTGCTTGCGTGGGAAGATTCAGGTATTCATTAATGTCCTCAGGTCCAAAGGGATACCACTTGTCCCGAATAAAAACATGTTGAAAGTGAGATGAGCATGCAGTGGAAGTGTCCATGGTCAGATTTGTGTAGAACTCGGCAGTGACCCAAGGAGAATACAATCCAACTGTTGTGAGGCTGGAGAACAAATGTTGGTCCTCAGCTCCTCAACATTTCTTATTTTTTCGAGAATCAACTCTCTTCTTGAATGAACTTCCCAGTTATCCTTCAGATTTAGAGTCAACAGTTTTGGCCTATAACACTTTCGTTTGGACCCTTTCGGCCGAGAGCTTGGATTTGTCGCAATTCTTTGTCCGTGAGTCCTGCTAGGAGCACCGGATTTTGTATAATGGAAGCTAAAACCCGATCTTCGGCTTCAGGGAGAAGAGGCGACTCAACATCAATGATTTTTCGAAAGAGAGCAAGCCTTTGAGATTTTGTGGTGAAGGTTTCGTAAGGATATGATTGTCCATGGTAGAGCTTGGAGAGGATTCGGCCATGGTGATGAGATGAAGAAAGAAGATGAAGTGAAGATGGGATGGTGGTCTCATGAACGGTGAAGGAAAGAGAAAGAAAAAAAAAAAATATATATATATATATATATATATATATATATATATATATATATATATATATATATGTGAGGTTCAAGTGAGGCCAGGGTATTAGGTGAGGATTGTGGTCAAATTGCAGCCATCAGATCAGGCCAATTAACGACCCCGATTGCACAAGGAGTCAATTGACGCGTAGTGGAATTTTGGTAACTAAGTTTACTAGTAATTAATAGAAGGGGTAAAATGGTAAAATCAAAATTGATTGTGCAATTAAATAAAGGAAAGAGCGAAACGTTGGGGAGGAACGCGTAGGGTTAAAACGGCAGAAGTTCTGGGAAGCTGTCGGGATTGCACATTCACCATAGACGAAACCGAGAGCTCAAGCGACGACTAGTTGAAGCGGTGGGAGATAGTACACAATCAGGAGCTATGGCGGACGGAACCTCGAGAAGAAGTCAACGGCGTGCATCTGTTGAGGCAACGAGCAAATTCCGTAAGCGAAACCTTGTATATGTTTTTGGATTTTTTTTTTTTTTGTCGCTAACTTGCATGTAAAATTGGAAAGAATTTTTGTGAAATTCCATTTCGAATGGTTTGTTTCTGTGCAATTTTTGGGTTATTATTATTATTTGTGTATAAAAAAATTTTATGGCTCTGCTGTCTGTGTTATGCGAATGAAGAAGCTTTGAATTGTATGGTTTTTTGTGCTTGGGTGTGTTATTGTTTTTTTTTTAAATTTTTTTTAGTACAAACCACTGTCATAGATAGATTGTGTGGTTTCTGTTCTTGTTATTTTATTTTTGTTGTGTTTTTTACAAAAAAACGCTGGTAATGGGGGTGGATTCAGCCGTGGGAGTGGTGGTGGGCCTGGGATGCCGGAACTGTGACGATGGGTGAGACATTATCGAGACGGCGGTGGGGTTTCAAAACGTAGTTGATTTTTATTTTTTTTGGGAATTTGACTCAAACACGCCGCTAGTGGGGGGTTGGTTCAGGGGTGTGTATGTGAGGGCGTGGGGTGCGGTGAGACAGGAAGGGCAGAGAAGTGCATTTGTGTGCGATAATATAGAGACATAAGTGCATATTTTAAACATAGGTTAGTTAGAGTGTAAACGCCGCTAGACATTGTCCATTGAAGCATAGAAACCTAGTATTTTTGTTTGAATGTGCAGTGTACGTCAAAGTTGACATAGTAATCAATTGAACAAAAAAAAAGAGGGGAATACTAAAAGCAAAAGACAATTTTAAACTGGTTGGGAATATGTAATGTTCATTTGTTGATTTAAGAGGGGTGCATGTATTTAGTAATAAGGTTTCATGACTGGAGGTAGTATTTGTGCAATTGAATTATGCATGTGTGGTACGGTTAGAGTGCATGACAGTACTTGTACTTGGTGCATTTTATTACACTACGCAGTAATTTAAGGAATATGTGGAATACTTAATGTGCATTTGATGAGTTTAGAAGGGTGAATGGTATGCAGTAATAAGGTTTGTTGACTAGAGGTAGTATTTGTGCAAGTGCATGTATTCAGATACCTATGTGCATTCCCTTGATCAGTTTGTGTGCAGAATCTTTTTGTTTGGGTGATGATTTAATGGGAATATGTTAGAGAGTAGATACGATGCATATAATCAATAGTGATTACATAATTGAATATGTGTGATGAAGGAATGAGAAAAATGAGGTGAGGAATGAAGTTGGTTGGTTTAGGATGATGTTTAATAGGGAGATTAATGAATACATCTAGTTTCTATGGTACATCTAATTTATGTGCATATGTGGTTTTAACCAACATGCAGTGGTTTGGGTAATTGAAGTTAACTCCATTTTGCAGGCAAGAATGCAAAAAGAACACAACATTCAACATCGAATGCCATTAATTCGATCCTAGATGATGATTTTATAAGTCCGCTAGTACGAGCTACACGAGCAGAAAACACACAAACAAACGATGCTTCCGAATACGAATTCGCAACGTTTGAAACGATAAATTAACTTAAAGTTGTAATCTCTGTTTGAATATTAAATGAGTTTATTTATTTGTAAGTGTAATAACTGTGAAAATATAGGAAGTACGTTCCCACATGCAAAACAGAGGTTGTGCATCTGCGAGTTTAACCAAAGTGCAAAAATGCAAAAGCAATGAATGTATAAAGATTATTATTTTTCATATTACACGTGTGATGGATTATGCATTAGAGAGGATTGCATATTGGAAGTACGAATTTAAGGGAATGCGTTAATTTTTAACAACATCGAACACTCGTTAATTAATATTAAAGTTTTGCTTCATGATTTTTCACGGTTCAGTACTTGTGCAAGTATGGACAAGTTTCTAGGAGTGGTTTGTGCAACGTTGTGAATTATCATTGTGTCAATGCGATATTAAGCGACGAAAAATATTAAAAAATAAAAATAAAAACACCGGAGAAGAACAGTGCACAATAAACATAGTGGGAACAACATCCACGACAGAGAAAGAGAAGAGAACAGTGCGACGATCGGAAGAGAAGTCACCGGTTAGCAAGCACGAAGCTATGGCGGACGGAACTCCAAGAAGAAGTCACCGGCGTGCATCGGTTGAGGCAACAAGTAGACTTCGTAAGCATCAACGTTTAATTTCGTTGTGATTATGAATTTATTCTGATAGAATGTGTGCAAAATTATATTGCATGTTTGTGAAATTGAGTGCTATTATATAGTGTGTTAGAGTGGAATTTGGGTAGGGTTATCACTCCATATTAATTCACGTCACTTGATATTCCTATCCAGTTAAAATGCACACGAAACTGCCACTGCATTGCATAGACGAGCATAACTTGTTCCTCAAAACACGTTAAATTTAGGTGAACTACACACCCATCTTACGTATTTCTACCACCGATCGCTCACAACCCCATGACCAACTACAAAAATTGGTAACATGATAAATAAAAAAAACCCCATGACCAACTACAAAAATTGGTAACATGATAAATAAAAAAAAAAAGAAAAAAATAAATCATAACTGCAAACAAGCCGAATAAACTCAGCTAGACTCCATAAATGCACAAATACAGTCAACAACGGCGCACACAGCAACACAGCAACACAGCAACACAGCAACCCAGTAAAACAAAAAAAAAAAAAAAAAAAACAAACAAACTATACAGTACCTAGACTTGCTAACACGCTAAAAAAAAAATGAAAACAAATGAAAATTGCATACGAGCCAGGAAAGCACAAATACAGTACACCACGATACTGATTATATAAACAATGAATAACGATGGACACAATGACATACATGTTGACTCCATAGCAACAACCAATCTCCACAAAATACCGAAGAATGAAGGAAAGCTTGGGAAACTTCAGAAGAAAAATGACGCCAGACGAGAAAGACTGTGAAACGGAAATGATTAGAGGAATCCTACATTACCTTAATTATTCATCCTAAAAACATGCATAATAAAACTAATCTAATTAAAACTAGGAAAGATAAATAAACTCATTTACTAAAAAATCCCTACCATGCAAAAAAGGAAAGAAAAAAATAAAATCACATCCACACATCTAAACAAAATTCATGGATAAGATTAATCCTCACGTCCTCACCTAAGGATGAGTACTCATTTTATCCTTAATCTATCTATCTATATCTATATATATATATATATATATATATATATATATATATATATATTTGGATACCTAGAAAGCCGCGATTAGATGAGATAGATGGGAAAAGGAAGATTTGATGTTTGTATGGAATAACATTTAATGTTTAGGTGGTCAAAGTACATATGAAGTTTCTGTACTATACTTTTTTGTTCAATTTAGTCCTTCTACCTTAATTTTATTTAATTTAATCCCTGTACTTTAAAAAGTAAACAATTAAGGACAATAGCTGATATGGCGTTGCCATTTTATCTATCACGTCATCATACTTACACGCCAACTCATATATTATTTTATAAATATTTAAAATTACTTATTTTTACCACTAGTATATTACATAATATGTCCAAAATAAATACATAAATATCAATTATTGTCCTTAATTGTTTCACTTTTTAAAGTACAAGGACTAAATTGAACAAAATTAAAGTAGAAAGACTAAATTGAACAAAACGCTTTAATACAAGGATCTCATAGATACTTTGACCTGTTTAGGTTGAGATTTTTGCACTTTTAGTCCCACGACTATAGTGGCACTGGCAGAATTGATCCATGACTTTTGAACCTTGCAATTTTAGTCCACGACTATTGATTTTTTTGCAAAAATGGTCATTCTGGCCACTTTTCCGTCAAAATTTCACCGGAAAAAAAATATTCTCTATTTTTATCCGGGTTAAAATTGACATTTTACTTATCTAAAAAAATTAAAAGAAAATAATTGATATTTGACTACATACAATATTACTGGGCTACATACTACTGCCCCAGGCAGCAGAGTACATGTACCACTCCAATGCTGCTGTCGGATAACCCAACTAGCCCGGGGAACGCCACGGCCGCTCCGCCGCTTACTAACAGCCCTGCCTGCTCCAGGAACTCCGCCGTCTGGGGCAGTAGTATGTAGCCTAGTAATATTGTATGTAGTCAAATATTAATTTTTTTCTTTTAATTTTTTGAGATAAGTAAAATGTCAATTTTAACCCGGCTAAAAATGGAGAATTTTTTTTTCCGGTGAAATTTTGACGGAAAAGTGGCCGGAATGACCATTTTTGCAAAAAAAATTAATAGTCGTGGACTAAAATTGCAAGGTTCAAAAGTCGTGGATCAATTCTGCCAGTGCCACTATAGTCGTGGGACTAAAAGTGCAAAAAATTCTGTTTAGGTTGTAGGTTTTTAACATTTTATTAGGGGTTGAAGATAAAATTGGTTAAAGAATTAGAGTCCAAATATGATTGACTTTTTAATTTCCCTCAAAGCTGATGAATGGTGTGAAGCCCTTAAAAGATGAACTGTTTATTGCGTCTGAACCACACACAAAAACAGACAAAGCACGAGATTAGCTAAAAAAAAAAAAAAAAAAAAAAGGAATAAGGGTCAAATAGGCCATCGAACTGCATACAATAATATAATTAGGCCATTGAACCAAAAAAAAAACAATAATTAGGCCACTAAACTAAGTAATTTCATTCAATTATTCTAATTTTCAGATTTTGTAGGTTACTAACAGGTCACCCAAACAATTTAAAATATTATTTTAAAAATTATTATTTAAAAATAATAAATTAAAATTTTTAAAAAAAGAACCTCGTCTCTGCCGGACACGAAGAAAGTTTCTTCGTCTCCGGCAATGGAGACGAAGAAAGTTTCTTCGCCTCCGGCCAGAGACGAAGAATCTCCATGGCCGGAGACGAAGAGACTCTCCGTCTCCGGCCATGGAGACGAAGAAACTTTCTTCATCTCCGGCAGAGACGATTTTTTTTTTTTTAATTTTATTTTAATTGTAATTTATTATTTTTAAATAATAATTTTTTTAAAAATATTTTAAATTGTTTGGGTGACCTGTTAGTAACCTACAAAACCTGTAAATTAGAATAATTGAATGAAATTACTTAGTTTAGTGGCCTAATTGTTTTTTTTTTTTTTTGTTCAGTGACCTAATTGTATTATTGTGTGCAATTCGATAGCCTATTTGACCTTTATTCCAAAAAAAAAAAAAAAACAAATTATAAATTTTATTTACTTGGATTTGTTGACGAATTTTTCTTTTTTAAGCGGAAGGATTGCACACGCCTAGATCAGCTCGTAGAAGTTCGAATCTCGTTTTGTACAACGGCTTTGTGAATAGGTCTGCCAAATTTTTTCAGTGGAGATATAGTTTAGATTAATTTCTTTTTCTTCAACAAGTTCCTGTATAAAGTGGTGACGGATGTCAATGTGTTTTGTTCTGGAATATTGAACCGGATTTTTGGAAATGTTAATGGCGCTGGTGTTGTCATAGTAGATGGTCATGCAGTTTTGATTTAGACCATAATCAGATATCATTTGACGCATCCAGAGTAATTGTGTGCAACAACTTCCTGCTGCTATGTAATCGGCTTCCGCAGTACTGAGCGAAACTGAATTCTACTTTTTACTTAGCCAAGACACTAAGTTTTAGAGATAAAAAAAACAACCTCCACTTGATCTGTCGCACCTGTCTGTGTAGACCCAAAAACGATGTCATCAACATAAACCTGAGCAATAGTTAAATGTTTACCTGATCATTTGATGAACAGTGTTTTGTCAGCTCCCCCTCGATTATAGCCATGTTAAAGGAGATATTGTGTGAGCCTTTCGTACCAAGCTCTTGGGGTTTGTTTAAGACCATACATGGTTTTTTCTAGTTTGTACACGTAGTTTGGGTGATGTGGGTCTTCAAATCCCTTTGGCTGAGCTACGTAGATATCTTCGGTTAGATAGCCATTTAGAAAAGTCGTCTTAACGTCCATCTGAAAGAGTTTGATTTTTAAAGCACATGTAATATCGAGAAGTAGACGAATTGATTCTAGACGAGCAACAAGGACAAACTTCTCGTCGTAGTCGATCCCTTCAATTTGGGAGTATCCTTGGGCTACAAGACGTGCTTTATTTCAAGCTATGTTGCCAGAAGAGTCGGTTTTGTTGCGAAAGATCAACTTGGTACCTACAACATTGACATTTTCAGGTTTAGGAACTAAAATCCATACCTTGTTTCTTTCCAATTGCCTTAGCTCTTCTTACATGGACTTGATCCAGTGTTCATCTATCAAGGCTTCTTTAACATTTTTAGGTTCAATGTTTGACGTATAGCAGGCATATCCGGCTAGTTGAAGATAATCACATCTTAGCTTTCCTCTAGTCCTTACAGCGGAACTGGGATCTCCAATGACATTTTGAATTGGATGGTCTTTCTGGATGCGAGTTGGTATATCGATTTCATTCTGATCTGAATCGGATTCTGACTCTGGTTCTGGATCATGTTGAGCAGGTGCAGAAGTTGACGTAGAAGGCTCTAGACCTGACTTAGAGGATTCTGGACGATTTGGTTCAGGTTCTAACACTGATTCAGGTTGCGGAATTTCAACAAC